TACCCAAAATCAGGCAAAGCAGGCAGATTGAGTTGCTCACAGAATCATTCAGTGATCTATCTATCTGCCATCGGCTAGCTCAGTCTCTCAAATTTGCTTGCCGTGAGTCTGCACTGAATAATAGAAACTTCAGTCCTAAGGGCGGTTCGGCTGTGCTTAAAAGCACAGCCAAAGATCTAAAGACTAGCTAGAAAGCAAGAAATCCAACCATTTCCTGCTTCCTAGCTAATCTAAATCTCCTAGCACAGCAGAACACCTGATGGTCGGAAAAAGGAAAAATAGCAATTTAGCAGGCAAGTTTACCGGGTAAGGAGTGAGTGGGTGGGGAGGGTTCCCGTGGGCCATGTGGGCAGGGCAGCCTTGTGCTTTTGCACAGCCTGGATTAATTGCTTTGGGGGGTGCTCTGGGGGTGAGATTTCTCTGCGGCTCACCAAAATTTTCTCATGGCCCACCAGTTGGCGACTGCTGATCTAAACTGCAGCTCTTCATTGTGCCTCACAAAGCTATTCTCACAGCCCATTTTTGTACTTTAGAATGGGAATTTTGTGTACTGCCTTTTTTTACCATACTTGGGAAATATTGGATTTGAATATCCGTGTTTCTTAAATGTGATCATGTTCTACCCGTTCTTTGGTCACCAGCTTAGAAAAATAAGCAGAAGTGGTTTTTTTCTGTTTTTAGTCTTAAAAATCCAATTCTTTCATACCGACTCTGAATCTATGTAACTTATCCTGATTTAAGTGTATCTGATGAAGCACAATTGACTTAAAGGGTTACCTATTTTTCAGTTGAATCAATCAAGAACGATGGAAGAATTAGGATAACAGTATGTCCTGCTTGTTCAGTTGGTGAAAGGCTTGGTGAAATTGTAAGGGTTGAAGATGATCTAAAACTGTACTATTTAAATACTTAATGAAACCAAACACCACCTCTTGATTCCCCATCCCTCTGTTTAGCTGTTTTCTAAAAATTGGGAGATAAAAAATGTTTCTTATTATGTAAATATATAGCATTGTGCATCAAGATGCAACTGATGGTGACATTTCTGGGCTAGGCAAAAATAAAATAAAGATCTGACTTACTAATCCATGCTCTCTTTTCAACTTAAGCCTGGCAAAACATGGTGGACAGACCATCTCAGCATTGGCAAAGTGCCAGTGAAAATTTATTTTCTGCCCTGAAAAGAGACACTGGCTATTTCCAGATCTACTTTTATTACCTAAAAACCAGAGGTTTTACCAATCAGCTTGGTGCAAAGAATGCTGAGCCTTGGAATTTAGAGAGATACTTATAGGGCTTTATTAGGAAGAAAAACGGTTTCTGGTTAAGACAAGCTTTATATGGGTGAGGGGAGAGTTTTGGCTGCTGCTATTCTGAATTCTTGTGCTGCTGAAACTAGCCAAATAATTGGATCTATATTCTGCCTATCCACTTTTAGAAAACAATGTTAAAATGACTTTTTTAAAAAAATAAATACTTTATACTTGTATGTAAACCACCTGTTTTGGACTATTTTATTGATGTGGGAAGGAATTGGTGGGTTCCGTACACCTCTAAGAGAATGGACATTGTGTGGCTTTGTCTGATACAATCAGTTTCACCTTGTCTTCACCTTTATCTACAGACACTAGATACAAAAGTGGTAAGAAAATGTTGACGAAAATACAATTTACTACGGAGACCTCAATATCTGTAGATCTGCTGATGCTTTATTGTTACAGATCATTCTGTAAGTTCATGTTAATGGCATATGCCTTAAATTTCTACCATTTACTGTAAGCCAACTAGAGAGGTTCAGCTATTGAGTGCTTACATTTTTTAAGTACTTTGTTTAGTAGCTACTCTGCTAAACCTCAACAGTGAACAGAAGATGGTATATTAAAGAATGTTTCTAGCTAATCCCTACTTCTTGCAGAAAGGGTAACCTGTGACTCTTCAGGTGTTGCTTAACCTGCAATGTCCCTTAGTATTAGCTATGCAACCGGAAGATGCAGTCTTCCAGTTGCATAGGGCAGTCACTGATGGGCCAGATGTTGACTCATACAATTCATAGCAATACAGATTTCGGATATTTGCTTCTCATAGTCAAACGTAGGATATTTGTTCAAACATGTACATACTTGTAAATATATGCCAATTTTTCCACCAACTACCTACAAAACTAGATTTAGCTCCCATTTTCAGCAGAGTAAGCATACCAAAGCAATCGGAATAACCAGGAAGAACTAATTTGATGTATTATTAGTTAAGACATCAGGCTAGATTAGGGAAACTTAAGTTCCTGTCCCGCCTTAGTTTCAAAGCCAGATGGGTGATTTTGAACCAGTCACTCTTTCAGTCCTGGGAAACAATGGCAAACCACTTCCCAAAAACCTTGCCAAGGACCAGTTCAGGCAGTCACCAGAAGTCAAAAACTGACTGGAAGGACTGCATGTGCGAAATGAAACAAAATGTTAAAAAGCTATTATATGATTGTAGTTACTTACCAAGCACATCTAAATTATATTAAAGTAACCAAAATATCTTTCCAATCCCCAGGGCGTGTCACAATTTTTGAGCGCCCCTAGTATTTGGAAATTGAAAGTTGAAAAATTTGACACATCCTTGTTGCGTGCATACACACTTCTACATCATGCATCAAGGTTTACAAAATAAAAGTTTGTAAGCAAGAAATGTTCCTGAAGACATACTTCTAGAGATTTTTATCAAGATATTGGCAGAACAGATGGCTTGAGGGCACCTTCCCATCCCATTTCAAAGAACCTTGTAGGTGAGGTTAGGGAAAAGCAGATGCTAAAAATTGTTTCTTCATTCCTCATTTTACAGAGGGAGGCCTCCACTGGATTACTACATCCATTTGAAGAATATGAAATTAATGATTGTGTTAACTTTATTGCATAGAGTTACGATGCTCAGAAATAGGATGCTCCAAGGCTTAAATTCATTATTAAATAAATCCAGTCTAAGTTTTGGCAAAGCTATCCCATAACATCTCACAGTAATGATGAGCTTAATGAAATAGCCAGGGACACAATTGTTACAAACTTTTTTTTTTATTAACATTTCTGAATTCCTCTTTTTTTAATCTTTACAGTAGTTAATGTGCAATTCTTGATACTCTCAGGTCACAGGGATGAGGAGTCACAAAATTTTTCTTGGCACTTATAACACAGAACAAATACTGGCATTATCCAAGGGGCAAAGGGGAAAGTTCAGAGGTAAGAGCGTGGGATGCTGAGGGACCTGGGATGGGCTGAATGGGTGGGAAAAGGGAGGTTTTGCCATTGTTATTTTGTATTTTAAAGGATCAATTCTCCTCTTTGAAAGGATTTTACAAGGGCGGGGAAGGGAGAAGTACTGATATATTGGAGTAGCTGCTTGCATTAACCCAAAGCGCCTGGAAGGGGAAGAAAAGAGTCCATGCTGCATCTGCACAGAGGTTACATAATCAGGCTTTGTTAGTGCTTTCCGTATTACATTTTTGTCCTTTTAAAAAAGATTGTTTGCTTTAGTTAAGGAAAAAAAAAGGGCAAATCAAATGTCTATCACGGTCCTAGACCAGCATATAAATGTCAAAAGGAAAATAAAAGATGACAAAAATGGATACAACAAAAATCGGGCCTCCCATCCCCTCTGAAATCTGTTCTTTCCATTGTTAACACAGAAAGCATATCCAAGATGTAAATATGCCACTAGAAGAAATTCCTAAGTAGGTTGGAAAAAGACTCAACAAAGAGGAATCCAGCTGAATCTTCTGAGTCCTCTGGGATTTAAATATTGGCATCAGATTTTTCCTAAGTGTGCCAAGTGGGTGAACATATTTCCTGTTCCAGAAAGTAGGTGCTGAATGTCCTGGCTACCACCTCAGCTACCATCCCAGAGACGAGACAACGAATATGAATGGCCACAAAGCGGACCTTTGCTGATTACAGACTACAGTCCCAAAGGCCCTTGGTCTGCCCAGTTTTCAGAACTCTCTCCTGTAACCTGCTGTTTTAAAAATTGAGCTCTGGCAGCTCTGTCTTAGAAGACAGACCAGCTTACAATATTTGCAACAGCAACTCTTCTACAGCAGTCACGCCTCCCGGTGAGAAAAGCAAGCAATGTACAACCTTTTTCCTTTTCTCCTAGAAAGTTCCAAAGGCAATCACACCTGTTGCCCATAAAAGTCCATCACATGTGAAACATGCATGGCAAGATGCTATTCAAATTGTCTTCCAGTGTAAACAGAATTACTAGCTTATGTTCCACCAGAGCTACTTGACCAGTTTATATGAACCCCCCTTGGCACCTATTCAAAGGCCCTAATGGACTCTGAAGTACGTAAACAGGAAAGGAATAATGTACGCTCTTCTTTTTTCACTTAAAATAAGTGCTTTTCCTTTTTTAGTGTATGCTCTTTTTTCACTTAAAATTAATGCCTTTATTTTCTTAGAATAAATCAGGTGTCCCAAGAATCACAGCAAAAAATGGTTGCCTTTCCTCAGTATGTGCCATTAATATTGCACAATCCCCTCCCCCTTGCTCCCCGCATCAGAAAAACTGGTCTTCGCTCCAAGATTTAATGAATTGCCAAGGCTTACATGCAATCTACACTTCGCTTCCTCTCTCAATCTTTGAACTCAAAAAGCGGATTTCAGAGTTCTCCCAAAATATAATGATGAGAGCCAGTGCAAAATTGGTTGGTCAAAAGGAGTGAGATAGAAGAGATTGACCTACAATATATTTCATCTTGTCAAGAACCTTCCTCAAAAGTGTCATCTTTCTAAAGCAGACTCTGCCTTAATTCCCATCTTCATCAGTCTTAAAGGCTGGGCCCACAACAAATTATTTATCTCACTTACAAGGCTGCCCAACTACAGTAAGGTGACTAAAGAGAGAGACAAAAATTGCTGCCTCCCGAGTCACATCTTGAGCTCACCTTATTTTTTCCAATTCAAAGTGGAAGTGCCCAGGACTGCAGAATGTTTGTTTTACCAGCGAGTGATGCACATGCTGCTACCAAATGTAATAACAGCTCTATCTTGGGTAAAAGAATGAAAAACAAGCATTCTAGATAAGGTAAATTCAGCTGAACATTAAGTTCTGGATGCCTCTGAATATGTACTAAGGTTATACTTGCCCTGCATTGACAGGCGTATGGATGCAACTTTATTTCCAATTATGGATTGCTCTGACTTTGGAGGCTCCATAAACTTTTATGCTCTGTTGACAAAGAGGCCAATATAATGGGGAGTTAGGATGGGGAGGGGGGCATAGATCTAGATCTCCTGTTCTTATTATGCCCCCAGAACTGGTTTCATCCCAGTGCAAGTTATTCTTAGTTTTCATAATCTAAATTGGAGCCATGACAGATCGGAGAATTATAATCTGCTAAACACTTTTCTTGTCCAAACCTTATTAACTCTTTCTTTTTGGCCTTTCCCAATATCATTTTGGAGGCTGAGAAAAGTGGGAGGAAGCTATGGACACTAGAAACCTCTTTTAGAAGAAGGTATCCAATGGATATGGATAAAATTGTATTCTTCATAAATTTCATTTCTTCAGTGTAAGATGGACAATTATGGTAAAAGCGGTGTCTCCTTTTCCTGCTTGTTAGTTGATCAATCTGATCAGTTCGTAGGAAACAGCTGATTTCTTGTCACTATTAGTAGCAAGAAGTCCATTTTCTACACACGGGGTTACTGAAAAAAGCCAATTGTTCAAAGGGGATTAATCTTTCCACTTCTTCCCACTTTATAAAAACTGAAAACTAATAATGTTATTACTTACATCCACGTAACTCTGCTCAAGTTTACTGAGAAGGGGATGAATGTGTGATACACATTTATGTTGTAGAAGTGCTTAGTTCACTCAGCTGAACAAGTAATAATAACCCAAGAAAGCTTTTCACATCCTGAGCAGTGGCTATATTAGAGTTCAGCGGAGATTAGAGAAGACCAATCTAACATACTTTTATATAAGGAAAAACTCTTAATGATTAGGGAGAAAATTCTGTTCTGAGTCACACAGTGAAATACTGTTGTTATTGCAATATATTTTTTGCTTTAAAAACCAACGTAGGGGGAAAGATTTTGGATGTTATTTCACTATTTTATAGTACTTTATCTACTGAAGACAATATGTTGTGGTAAAGTTATAGTCAGGCGTTGTAGTGGTTCAACTACAAGTATCCCTAACTCAGAGTGGAGTTTAAAGAATATGTCTTCCAATCTTAATTTGGAGGTCAAGATGGTAGAAAGAAGTATGAACTCCTATCCATTTTTATGCAAAAAAAAGTCTATGCCATTATAATCTCTTAATTCCTCTACATTTTCAAATAAAAAATGTTACATTATGTGGTTAGGGAAGGGAAGAGAACCTATCAGAAATACCAAGGAGAACAGTAGGAAAAAAGGACAAAGTATAGAATTTTAAGAGTGTACTGTGCAGCTGGATTGGAGCATATAAATCAGAGTCCAGGAATTGGAGTGGTACTAAGAGCAAGACTAGGTTCAATGCAGATTGAGGGAAAAGCTGGCACGTTTTTTGTTTGGGGAAAAGTGTTTTAACAGTTTACTACTACCCCAGCTGTTTTATCTTAAGAGTCTGTTCATTAGAATCACATTCATGTTCATGAAAAAATAGCTAGTAAATATAATTGGTCAGCCTCTATAGAACATGCAACAACATGGGTGGCAGCATGGGTGAGAGATAGACACAAGCATCAGATGATAACAGGAACTCATGTGCATGCAACTGTTCTATATTAGTTGTTCCTATAAAAATGACGACCTGGATATGTATCTCTATTCATATTGCAATATTCATCCCTATAATTCCATGTATGGTTTAGAGAAGCACTGTGATGCAGGTGGGCATTCTCCTCAACAATGCACATGCATTCTTGATTAGATACCTAGTTTTCTTTTTCTTGCAGTCCTGCTAAATATGCAATGTTGGTTCAATGCTCATATTCTTTCCATTGTTTAAACAAGGCCAGTTTTCAAATGTGACAGCTAAGCTAATTATTTCTCCTAAAACCGTTTGAAAATTCAGGTGGAGACTATTATTACAATTCTCTCTGTCACACATATACCCACCATATCAATAAAACTTTGTATCATTCACCTTTTAAACACCATCCATTACATACTTTTTTCCAACTAGAACATGATTAAAGATTATTATAGTGTAAGAAAATAATGAACTATACCTCTATTTGGTTTCTAGAAAATGTATATGATTTTTAAAAAGTTAACTTCTGTCTCTTCCATTTTTCAGGAAAAATACTAATCAGATGTGAAGTGAGTGGGGTTTGTTATGTAACTGACCATAATAATATAGAAGCACTGGGTAAATTTCGCCCTAGATAACAATTAAATCTTTCCTGTATAAAATAAACCAGTAGGAAAAGAGAAAAGAGGACCTGGAAAAAAAGTGAAAGCAGTGAAGGGTGAATTGGAGTTAATGTTAACAATTAACTTTCGAGATCTTGGAAGAGCCATTTCTTTATAGTAAAGCAAATGCTCATAGTGTCACTGGGCAGGGAATGCAGTAGGATGCCACAAAGTTTGTGCACTTCATCATGGATTTCTAAAAATAGCAGCACCTGAATTATAATTCTGAGAAAAACAGACAAAACAGAACTATCTGCAAATTCACAAAAACTGTGAATCTCTGGATTCCATGGTGGAATTACAAGAAGGAAATCAGTAAAAAGAAGGAAATAAGTATAATACCTTAGGTTTGTAAGGCAGATTTACCTACATTTAAACTGGGACAATAACTTTTCTGAAAACATCTCCAATCAACTGCAGTCTCCTGGACCAGCACTCAAGTAATCAGGTCCTCTGCATCTGGCTGGGCTGTCTGAAGGATGACCTCTTTAGATTCTGTACTCAGCTTTCTCTTTGCCTGCCCCCACCCCAGGGTTAGAAAATGTCCCGGATTTACCAAAGTCAGGAAAGAACAAGGTTGCCTATTCTAACCAAAGAAAACCAGCAACATGGCTTGATGTACAAAGCAGCTATTCTCTGAGCAAAGTAGGACATGCACATGAAGTATATTAAAAAGCGGGGTGGGGAATCCACCCACATGACTTCTCAGGCAAGACCGGTTCACACAGAGGGTGGGAGAATGTTCCATCAAGGTATGCAGAAAAGCTCTCACTGTGCTCAGTCAGCAGCACTATTCACACTTATTCCCAGCTAAGTGGGCTCAGTGTGGCAGTTCTTAGTGTTCTATCTAGAGAGGAGGAATCAACACAGTAAAATTCATTTAGAGTATCAATTCATGAAGTGATTTAGAAATGTGTTAATTTCTCCCCAGTTATAAATATACATGTACCAAGGAATTCTCTGGAACTAGACAGTGGCATGAAAATTGTCTCTCCTTGTCAACCAGGACCTGAATGTGTGAATCTCTGAAACAAGATCTGGGTTGATTTTGAGCTCTTTCCAGATAAAGAACAAACACACATATCTACAAATGTACATATGCAAAGGAAATGTACATCCCCTTAGCTAAGACTGGTTGAATCTAAAATTTGCAACCCCTGCTGAAATACAACCAGTATAGTTAGGTGGTTTGTTTAAAAAAAAAAAAAGATTTACACTGTACTTGCTTCTCTTTATAAATAGACAATGGCTGAGATTCAGCTATAACTGTTGAGCTTTCTTTGGAAAAGGAAAACTTTTTCCAGGCCAGTTTTGGTTCAGTTTATAGATGAATTTGTATGAGAGACATTATTGACGCCGGTTAATGCCTTGACGTGAAATCATAATACTAGTGAAACTGTCATCGGGTCCAACAGGTTAGAACTGCAGCTTTCAGAATGATGGGGAGACTAGAATTGGGGCTACTGTCATCCCATCTTATTTGGAACAATTCTAAACTGTGGAAATTATTTTTAAAATGCTCCAGCTTTTGTAATCTTTTTGGGAGAAAGATGTAATATTATTCATGCCCTGAATTTGTCTTCATGGAGAGGCAAATCCTTCAAGATTTCCAGTTTTAGGCTCCTTTATTAAATAGATTTCTCTCCCCCTTCCCCCCAGGCCTTTCCCAGTTGTGGAGAATTGTTTTAATTCGGTCAAAGGATGGCTTAGAAAGTGTCTGGCAACAACTATCGTGAACGCACAAAGGATTGTTTGAGACATCTGCCATACTGGGAAGACTAAAGGCCCGACTGCCATCAAGCATAACTACTTCAGTATCCCAGGATTTCCAAGGAAGAGAGAGATTCTTTCAGTATGACTGACTACCTTAATCGTGTCAATGGAAATACAAAAAGGCAGGAGACAAGGTTTCCTAAAATTCCTGGTTTGCCCACTTAACTTAGTTACTTTCCATCTCAAGATGGAATCCAACCAGGAGCCCTTTTTTCTGGGACAACCACCACTCAAAAGCCACATTAGTATGAAAGTGGGGAAAAACAAAAGGTAAAGTTTCATGTTGTAGTTAGTTACTTTTTGAAGATTTTCAACCATTCGGTAAAGATTCCTTTTAGCTGTCTGCAGGTGAGGACTGGTTTGAAATATCCACACATGCTGGTGCGAAAATGTAGCACTGGCTGGATTAAGGAAGTGATGCTTTCTTCCTTGGCTTTGTCTCATCCATCAAAAACTGTTTTGTAAACTTCATATTTGCCTTTGGCAAACTACCTGAAGTGGGAGAAAGGGTTGAATAAGAATTTCTTATTCTGCTCCCTAATCCTCGAGCGTGTACTGGAAGGGAATGATCCTTCAGTGAAAAATATTGTAAAAGCAAATTATAAAAATGTTTCCAGTTACGGCAGCAGTAAGACAGATAAATATACCTGTTACTATTAGCTCCGAGAGAAAGAGCCCTATGCGGACTGCATGGATATATGTCCGATATTGCAAACTGCCTGAAAACTGAGTAACCTGCACACACATTTTGTGTTAAAAGAAACCATTTCAGAGAAGAAGCTGGCTTAGAAGAAATGATGACTATGTTAGAGGATAGTGGTAATCTCAGCTCTAAGTTTAGTGTTTTCTTTACTGGCTCTGAGCCAATAAAAAGGCAACAAGCATAGTGTCCTACATGATCAGAGTGGAGATTAGAGTGATCCGAATGACAGGAGAGATCATTGTGTGCCACAGTTGGAGAAAGTGCATAGGTTCAGAGGTGAGAAATCAGACATTAGTGTGCATGCATGCAAGTATACTTAAGTTGTGAGGATACCGAGAATGAAAGGAAAGGAACTGTCTCCTTGCCTAAAACCTAAGTGTACCTAAGCAAGAATGGAAGGGGAGGGGCAGAACTGGAACTGAGAAGAGCAAAGGTGATAGCCCAGGAATCTTAGAATCAGTCCCTTTCCTGCTCCCGTTTCCCATTCTCTAGGAAGGAAAGACTTAGTAACGGTTAGTCCAAGTTACAGCCCTAATCAGGAAACAAACATATGATGGAGGAAACAGGTAGTATTCTGGACACAGGTAGTGTTCCTTAGTGTATCTGCAAGTGGATTTGGTTGTTTTTCCTCCCACTAAATTTTTTTTTTTTAAATCAAAAGAGTCACAAAAGAAGGGGCTGGGAGAGAAGAAATGCCAGTCGGAACTGCCAGTGCAGTTGCAACAGCAGCAGCAGCAGCAGCAGGGTCTCCTCTGAGCTCAAACTACTTGCAGTGCCTGAGGAAGAAAGGTCAAAATTTAAGAATCTTTGTTTTTTTTAAAAAAAGGAGATAGCACAATGCTTTCTTTCCCCTCTGCCAAAACAAAACAAAAACAAAAAACCAACAATAATAAAAAGAAAATGAGAAAATGTGGAAAACAATTCTACAAAAAAAAAAAAAAAAAATCAAATTTAGGAAATTAAAAACCATCGCCTGGAAAAAGAGGTGGGTACACTTCACTGGAGGCCCTCGGCTGAGGTGCCTGCATCTCCATCATGGCTGCTGGTCTCAAAGCTGTGCTCCACACCCATGATGTCTGGCTCCATTTTGCCACTGTCATTGATGAAGGTTGTGTAGGCATCGCCTTCAGCCATCAGTAGTTTCAGTTTAGGCATCCAGCTCTTACGGACAACACGTCGTGCATTTGTGCACATATCAGCAGCAATTGCATTCATCTCGCTCTCCTTGAAGTTTGGAGCAAAGTTCTGGCAATAAACTGAAGGAAGAAAATGAAGGCCGCCTTAATCAAGGTTGCTATAGCAGCAATTGGGAATGTTCCCATGCCTCTTTGCCTCTGTCTCTAGCCCCAAGACCTACTCACATTTACAAAGACTCAGGGCCAAGTTTAAAACTTCAGCAGGAACTGGGAGAAAGGACTAATTTCAAACTTTTAAATCTGGCATTTATCTGTGTGGTATACAAGCATTATATATTTTGATAACTCAAAGAGACTATATGCTAGTTAGATTTCCTAGGTATCCACTTTCTTTCAAGTGGGAAGTATTAGTTTGCTCCTATATTTTATTCACTCTCCCATACAAATATTTTGAAGAGGCACTCACACTTCACAGCATGCAGCACTCGGCTGTCGAGAGGTTTCCGGCTGGGGTCATTGGTGGAGGAACGGATTCCAGTGCCACAACTGTTGGCAAGGGTGTTCCTAGCAATGGTCAGAAGGCAAGTAAAACGTTATTACACACTGTGTCTTACTGTGCTCTTCCTCTTATGGCTAATTCTGTCCACTTGTATACTATCTGTCTTTAGCTGAGTCTCAGTTCCTGTCTTGTTCCTTGAGCCTAGCGCTACATTTCCAGACCAGAAAGGAACACTGGGATGAGAAGGAGTAAACACATAGGAAGAGTCACCCACCCCCACATACTTATTTCTCCATAGCACAGAAAATCATTTACTCACCGGTCAAAAAAGGATGCTAGTAGCCGCCTGAGAAGCACTTTGTGCCGTGTCCCAGCACTAACATGGCAATTCATCAACTGCGCCCGAGTGATGTACACATTAGTACCTGAACAGAAACAAAGCCTGTTGTGATACATTCAAACTGTATAAAGGCCAATACAGCATCTTATTAAGCACCATGTCAAAAGCTTTATGAAGGGGACAAAAGATAATGCGGTTAATTCATCCTGTTTCTTGCTGCTTCCAATATTGTGATGCCACCCAGTGGTTTTGGCAAACAGACCACTTCACTTGATAGCTTTGATCCAACCAAGTCCAACACAAATGACTTCTATAATACGGCACATGATCTGTTTGGGAGTCATATCTGTGGCTAGGAATTTTAGTGGCTTACAGATATCCAGAGGACAAAGTGAAACCCAAGCAAGAGCTTTGGAATTCTAAACACAGAAACAAAAGATTATTTTGCTGGGCTGAAAGACGCCTGAGCTTGGGAAACCCTTCCTTAGATCAAGTAGATCTAAGGAATGAGCACAGAGCACAGAGGCAGGAGCTGCTAATATGACTAACTGAACCGGGGCACTTCTTTTCCTACTCAGTGCTGGCCACCAATCAATAAGTGGTGTGTCAGTCCCTTGTAGGACAATGGAGAGCCATAAAGACCAATTAACAATATGTCACATTCAGAAACTATACACATTAAAAAGTAACGATGGAGTTCTTTATAGATCATTTTTAACTGATGCCTTTGAGCAGGGGTCTCCAACCTTGGCAACTTTAAGACTTGTGGACTTCAACTCCCAGAATTCCTCAGCCAGCAAAGATGGCTAAGGAATTCTGGGAGTTGAAGTCCACAAGTCTTAAAGTTGCCAAGGTTGGAGACCTCTGCTATAACAGGTAATGCCAATACAAGTAGTCTTCGACTTACAACAGTTCATTTACTGACCGTTCAAAATTACAATGGCACTGAAAAAAATGACTTATGACCGTTTTTCACAGTTACGACCTTCCCAGCACCCCCACGATCATGCAATTAAAATTCAGAAGCTTAGCAACTGGTTGTGTCCCAAGATCATGTGAATCGCCTTTTGCGACCTTCTGACAAGCAAAGTCAATGGGGAAGCCAGATTCACTTAACAATCGGGTTACTAACTTACCAACTGCAGTGATTCACTTCACAACTGAGGCAAGAAAGGTTGTAAAATGGGGCCAAACTCACTTCACAAATGTCTCACTTCACAAGTTTGGGCTCAATTGTGGTCATAAGTTGAGGACTACCTGTACTTTTTCCTCCTTTAATTTTGGGAATTAAAGGCATCTTTAAATAATGTTAGCTCAAATGTTGACTCTATTGTAGCGTAATTATCAGGACTGCTTTTCATTGAGACAAAAAAATTAATCCCCCAAAGAACAGAATGACTCTTATGCAAGAGGTAAGCAAGATTTTTTCTTATTTACTGAAACCAGTTTCAACTCTAAGGAGTCCTACCTATCACAAGTTCCAGTTTCTCAGCTGGGTCACCCTCGTCATACAGCTTTGGATGGCATCGGTTTCCAATCTGGTTGATGAGCTCGGCAGGCAGTGAAGCTAGGTCCTGCCGCACTCGTATCCGGTTGCGAGACTCTGACTGCACCTGATCTGGCAGTGCTTCTACTTTTTCTGCTGAAAAAGGGGGGAAAAAAAGGACAGGAGGAAAATTGGAGAAGGTGTTGAGCAGATATGAAATGAAGGTACTAAAGTTATCTTTCTCTTTGAAATATTTAAACTCCGCAACTACATTTGTAACCTTGCTCTTGAAGAGTATTCTTAAGCAAGTTATTCAAAGACCACAGAAATTACGGCATCCTTTAAAAAAAAATGGAATCACAACAACTACCTCTTCCTCTCCCAGGAACAGAATGTCTTTTAAGAGCTTATGTTTCAGTCCCCTTTCCATAAAATATTGTAGTCTGGCTGTATTCCCTCATTATAACAAGGAAGGCAAGGATGTGCAATGCTGACAAGATGGATAGAATCCACTATCTCTGTATTTGTTTATTTATCTCAAGCAGAGATTACTATTCATCCTCCTTGTCCATATTTATAGAGTCACATTCTGAAAATAGTTCACAAACTTTTCAGTACTAGGGAGGACAGGCTGAAGACCCTAGAAGCAATCAAGAAGGCTGAAAATTGCAGCTTTTCTATGGTGATTAGACCCTCATTACATATTTTATTCTTTATTTTTTAAAAATAAGTCATACACTATTTTTTCAGCAAAGATATCATACAATGCAATACTTTCAAGCTATCTACAAAAACAAACTAATAAAAAATAAAGGACATATGGTGCAGCAGCTGTAAAGCAAAAACAACTTGGCAAAGACTGAAAAAAAGAAAAAGTCCCCAGTTGCCGCTTACAATGATCACGTGGAGTGCTTAAAGCACCTCTGGTAAGATGCAACCCCAAAATATTAAGAGTTAAAATAGAGAAAGACTTACTAGTTGTACAGATCAAGCTGGCCCAAACTCAGTAAGGTCCCTTCAGTCAACCCCTGAGACTGGGCTGCTGGGCTATTGAGCCTTTTAGGTAAAAAAGAGAGCACGGCTTGGATTTCGGTAGAAAATGAACAAGCAAGTTGTGGATGGCCCAAATGTATCTATGATAAAAGAATGCTAGCTCAGGCCTGTCAATAAGTGACAAGAGTATTCTGCACTATACTATTTCTGGTATTTCTGAATTTTCTTTTGAGGGCAGCCCTGCTAGTTCTGTTTATAAATCACCAAGAGAAGAAATGACAACTCTTGACTTTGCGAAGCTTAAACACGTTGCTATGATTTCACTTTCCAGTAGACATTTTCATTACTTGTATTGCAGAAGATCTCCCAATCCCTGAGCAGAGAAGACACAGGTTCCCATCATTACTATCGTGGCATAATTCTGGTCTGATATTCAACGTTGCAGTTGCCCCTGCCCCCTTACTTGATGTGTTCAGAGGGAGGCTGACAGCCCTCTGTCATGGATACTGACTTCCTGCATTAAGCAGGGAGTTCACCTCAATGACTTGCCTTGCCCCCCCTCCTGTTTTAATTCTATGAGCAAGAGAACAAAAGTCACCCGCAGAAAAAAATATCTAGCAAACTGCAGGCCACGTAGCTTGGCCTCAAAGTATGGATTCAAAGCCTTAGTTAGTCTGTTACTTTCAAATATACTACCACTTTACAAATACTATTTATACCATTCCTCTAGACTGACATTATTATTAATATTTGGAGATTTATTTGTAATTACTCCTAGTTTAAAATCCTTCTCAGGATTGCTTCACACTCCTTTCACTGCTCTCTCTCACATACAAAAAAACCCCACACAAACACATACAAAATGTATCAGAACACATCTACTTGTTTCATATTGGTCAATTGCAATATGCACAAACATCCCTCATGTCAGGAATGAAAAACAGCCCCCCCCCTTCCTTTGGTTCTATTGTGTCCTATTCTTGGAGATTGGAGTTTTCTTGGCAAACTTTTTCAGAAGCGGTTTGCCATTCCTTTCTTCCTAGAGCTAAGAGAAAGTGGCTGGCCCAAAATCTACCCAGCTGGTTTTGTGCCTAAAGCAGGACTAGAACTCACATTCTGTTGTCATCCAACCTTACTATCCAACCTACAAAATCTCCCTTGCATCTCATCTCTGTGGATATTCTGATCAGAACAAGGGTAAACTGCAATACAATCCCTTTCCTATGTTTAAAGCAGGGGTGTCCAACCTTGGCAACTTTAAGACTTGTGGACTTCAACTCCCAGAATTCCTCAGCCAGCTGTGCTGGCTGAGGAATTCTGGGAGTTGAAGTCCACAAGTCTTAAAGTTGCCAAGGTTGGACACCCCTGCTTTAAAGCAAGCAGAACACAGTCACAATGCTTTGTAACAGTCCATGTGGGATACTCACCTGTCTGCCCTACATTCATCATGCTGTACATTGTGTACATGTTGCAGATTTGTCTGTACTGCTCATCGGAGCCTTCCTCGGGTGCATCTTCCTCTTCATCTTCTTCATTATGATAGGAACTGGGGCTGTCACTGGTGTAAGCACTGGAGGTGCCAGGGCTTGTCTGGTCTGAAGTACTGGGGCCACTGACCATGCCTGCCCCGCCACCTCCCCCCGTTAGTGCTGCCTGCTGCTGTTGTTGCTGATGAGCCTGTTGCTGTTGTTGCTGCTGGACCTGTTGTTGTTGTTGTTGTTGTTGCACTTGCTGCTGAACCTGCCGGTTCCCACCGCTCAACTCCTGCTGGGAGGAGATCTTGGCTATTTTGCGGCTGCCATTACTGCCGCCACTACTCCCTTCCTTCTGACTGCTTTCCCAGAGCCGCTTAACCACAAATGTGCATTGGACAGAGTCTGAGTCCTGTTGCTCTGTCTTTACACGCGAGACCAGGGGTAAGGGCGTATTGCCGGAAGGCCAGGTGGATGTCTGTGCCACGGGGCTCTGTGGCTCAGAGGAAGGCGCCTCCTCAGTGTGCAGGCCTTGCGAGTCACAGCTGGGCGAGCTGACCTTCAGGAAGAACTCAGTCCCCTTTTCCATAATCTCCTGGATCTGCAGGAACCCTGCTGTGTACATGAGCAGAAACTGATCACCCACATTCATGCTTAGGCGGCCAGTGTAGCAGAAACTAAGGATCTGCTGAAAGGATTGAGGTTGCACCGCAGCAGGAAGCTCTACCACAGTGCTCTTGCTGTTGTTGAAAAGGTCCCGGAAGTAGCAGCTGCTTGCAGCCAGCACAGCTCGGTGTGCCTTGAAAGCATGGCCTTTCACCACCACTGAGACATCACAATACAGCCCTTGTAACCGCTGCTCATTCAGGCATTCCAAGATGCTATTACCAAAGTTGGGGATCTCCATCTGGAGAAACTGAGCCATCCTCCTCCTCTTCTCCTCCTCCTCACCCAGATGGGTACGCTAGAAAAAAAGAATAAGGAGCCAGAGAAGTTAAATGTGGAATGGAAAAAGAGCAAAGGAAGGAGATGGGCCAAAGAGAGAGAGATCACCCAGAAGCGGGCAATGTTTTGGCAGCCTCGGGCCACCCTTTGAAAAAAAAAAAAAATACCGTGGGCTACAGTGGACAAAGCCTTGAAGTAGTGAGGTCATGCAAACAGAAGAAGTAGGGTTTGATAGAGCATTTTAAAAAGGTGCTTTTAAATGTTTAAATCAATCTGACAGCTTATACCTTTTTCTTTGGTTTTCTGTTCTTCTTTCTTTCCATCTCCACAATTTGATACTTAGCTGCCAAATTTTGATAGTGTGATCTCCAGGGCCTCTGTAGACCACAAAAAAAGGGGTTCATAGGCCATATGAACCCTAGGACCACACCTTCCATTAAGGAGGTAGCAGAAGTGAAGTAGTCCACGCAATCAACCGTTTTACATGCTCTCTCTAGAAATGGAAGCGTCAGCCTTAGGTCTTAGTTCTTCCTCCAGTTTTCAATAATCAAAAGCACTAAGCCATTTATTTAAAGACTTTGTGTATCATATAAACCCAAGCCTCTGACAAAATGTAATCAGGCTCTTCTTTAACCAGACTTGTATAGGCTTGGTTAGGCAGCAGTTTACTTACCTTGATCATATCCATAGAAGAGTTAATTTGAGATTAGCCTGCATTCCTAGCCATCAGCAAAGAGATGGGAAGTCTAGAGCAACTGTAAAATGAAGCTGTTATATCTGTATCATAGCTCCTCCACCTGGCCCTCTGAATAAACATGGCTGGATGGTGATGAAACGGGGAAGAGAAAAGAAATGGGGGAAGACCACGACACATTTTCCCTTCTTACTGTTAAGAAGCAAACAAACCAGAAGGTGATAGAATGTCAACCAGTACAAAATGAGCCAAATTGCTCTGAAAAAATGGCTGCAAACTATATAGTTAAGGCAACTATAGGTTCCGTTGGTCATCTGGGGCCAAAACACTACATAAACCATTTGGCTTAATGAACACCAGACTGAGTGAGGTACATTGAACAAACATGGCCAAAATAATTTCACCTCCAATTATACACGTACACACACACACACAATCTCCTTTACTTTAAGCTGTTTTAATTAATAGTACTTTCCCCCCTCTTTTTATGATCCTGTAATCCCCTGCTTCGGGATGGGGTTGAGGCAACTGAGTGGCACTGAGCGTTTACTGACAGATGCCCTTCCTGATGCCTAGGCAGAATTCGCAGCAGATATTTCCTCTTTGCAGCCTGATAGCGAAACATCTGTCACTGCCTAGGATTGAACTGTCAACCTTCCATGTAGGAAGAGAGAATCTTCACTTCTATGCCACCACACTGCTCTGCTTTACTAGTAGCTTTTATTTTGACCTGAGGGAATTATTTCACAAATATTATAAAGAAATTAATATAAATATAAATAATAAAAGAGCTACACTGGATTAGTTTTCAAGCATGAAATTTAAAATGGTTCCAATATTTGCCATACTTTGGGCACATTTTAGACTTCTGTGGCAATTACAGCCACCAGAAATAAATAGTATTTGTAGCCCATTCTTATTATGCAATTTCCCCTTTTATAGTATTCTGGTCATTTAAACAGAGAACAGCATGAGAAACTTCACAGCTCAAGTTTCTTCTTTTGATATTAATGAACACTGCAGGAGTTATGGAAAAGGGAAAGATTTAAGTGTAGCTTTTTATTAATCTTGGTTAAAAGCAATCGAATGTGACAGCCCTAGGATTGTGCTGAAATAAATATGGCAGCTTTGCCGCTGTAAAATAACCACGCATAAAAAACAGGTTGTAATCCAGCAGCAATGGTGATCTGCAAACCCAGTGAAGCTTCCTACCTATTACCTCCAGAAAGTGACAGCCTCTTATGAGCGTATCGATCTTCCCTGATAATAGCTCAGAGAAACTCTAAATCACGGCACTGTCTTTTTAGGACAAACAATATGTGTGTCAGAGATAAGATACACCATGAATGTAAATGAAAGCTTGGGCTAAAAACAGACAAAATGGGTTTTTTTTTTTAAATTCCACACACCATTTGCAACTAGAGAGCAAATTAATGCTGGCTGGAATATTAAATATATAAAAAAAAAAAGTAATGGTATTTGTTGTCCATTATTCTTTCACAAGGGGGACACTATGACCCAAAAATTTCCTGATGCAAATCACACAGAAGAGAGAAATTACTCTGCAAGGAATGACAATGCAGCTGAGGGCACAGAATAGGTACACAATGGGCTGTTGCTTTTAAAAATTCCCAATTCTACAAAAAGCTTGGGTGTGAAACAGTGCTTTACAGTTATTTGGAGATGGTTGGAGCAGAACAATACAACAAGATAATCCTCCCTACAGAGTTTATTCAGGACGCTGGCATTGTTAGTGACTAAGATTTCTGCTCCATATTCAGATAGCATCAGGTAAATGCCTCCCTCCTTCCCGCAAAGCTTTAAAACTGCTAGCAATTTTTGGAAGAAGATATAAAGAGGGAGAAAATAAAAATCTTTTATGCAGCTTTCTACAAAGCAGTACTGAAACATCCTCAATATGAATTTGTAATGGAATAGACTTTCAGTTGTTTTCAACTGAACATTTATCAGAATGAGACAAACATTCACACATTTTGAATGCTGAGCGTTCAATTTCTTAAAAATTCAGTTTTAATTTACTGCAGTAGAAGTTTCTGAGATGACAATTTGCTGAGGATTTCACCATTTCTTCTAGAAAATGCAGGACACTCACCAGAAGCATAAGGATATTCTGCAAATAGAAGATCCTAACAACCATTTGGTAAACTTCTCGTCTTTGTCCTTTTTTTAAACCTATTCAACCAGAGATACAAATATCTAATAATAAACAAAGATATAAAGACTGGGGGCCACATATGAGATGAAAGGCAAGGCTCCCATTCCGAAAGTATCTTCATGCTGTTTCTATGATAGGAGAAAACTCTCAGTGGGAAAGAGGGAAATTGAGGGTCATTTGCAGTATTAATTCAATTTTTTCTTGGGCACCATAATTGGAAGTGTGTCATTGGCTTAGAAGCCTTCCATTGTGAAAAGGAAATCGTGAATTTTAAATTATAATAAAAATGATCCTTATTTACAACTATGTCGATCATGACAGCATTTGTTGAAGTACAAATATTACAGTGTGTTGTTAAACCCACATGATTTTTACATAGTTTTAAAAATGATTTTATCCTGAATGTTTGATTTTCAATTATCAAGACAGCATGAACATGTTATTCTTTTAATACTACCATTAAACAGGATATCAATAAGAGAACACAGAAACTATGGACTTCTTTCATTAAGGAATCTCTTTACAGCTTGAACAATGAATACTTCAATCAAACCTGACAAACTAGACTGATTATTCTTAACCAAACACAATAAATTGGGTGACCAACATTCACATCTTGGTTAGAGATCTGGCACTGTACCATTTTTATACCATTTTCCATTGCACAAGTTCTAAGGAAAAATGTTTAAGGAGCCCAATGGGGAAAAAAAAGTATAGGCACAAAGCAGTTTTGTTACCTGAATATTATATACTATTTTAGTTTTCAGAAAAAGTGCATTAGAATAAAACCACTTAGATTAAAAGAGCAAATTTTATCATTTTAGCCAATGCCTTATAATTTCTATGTTGATTTATTTAATGGCCTATAGACTTATATGAAAACTTTGAAAACGACAGTATAGCCTTTAGAGTGCTGCCTGTCAAAATTTTCTGCCTAAAGATGATTGTTCTGCTGAGACAAATATAATTATAATGGAAAGAGTTGGTGATAGAACCAAATCATTAAATAAAACAGAGATTCTTTTTTTTTTTTTTTTTTTGGGGGGGGGGGGGCCTTCCAACCTAAGCCATTGTTTTCTCATAACTGTCAAATGAAGCCAAGTAGTTAAGGGATCCATCTTTATTGCATCTGTTTTTATTAAGTTTAAACAGAATTTTCACTATGCCAGAAGATTAAGCATTTCAGTGATGCTACAATTCAGCTACTACTTGTATTCTTGTAGGAAGAAGGATAAACTGGGCGGAGGACAATTAGTGCCAAGTCAAAATATGCACATGGAGCAAAACAGATTATATGTTATAAATTATTTTCTTGATCCTGGTTCCCTAACCCTGATCTTGTAAGTCCACTGCTCTCTCAGAGTTCAACCGAATCAGTAAATATTTTGCTGTCTAAGAAGACAAAGTCTTTGACTTAAAAACAATGCCTCAGTTTCTACCCTAGACTGCTTGAAGTCTGAAGATAAATAACTCCGTTTCTCCATGACTTATATGCACAGCCATGTACATAATGACACATGTGGGAATACATGGAGTAAACAGCCATGAATTATATAACATTAGAAGATTTGGGATATTATTTAAAATGGGTATGCAAAACACATCAAATGCAAAATGTCCCATTTTGAATTCCAACACTTTCAAATGAAAGAAGCTATTATTCTGAATTTAATACAATGGCTTTAGGTTCAAAATGGGGTGCTCTGAATTCAGTTCACAATTCAAAAAACTTTGGATGCCACTACTTTCCAAATGACATACAGGTAAAGAAGAATAGGTTCTTCAAGTAAATTGTGGCAGGAAATTTAGCTGCAATTATCAAAGATACATTTTTTTAAAAATCTGGAGTACCCTCTTTGGGGATCATCCTCAAATTTCAGAATTTTCTAAGGGAAGCAGTAGTTTCTTTTTCCATTATTTTCATCCATTTCAGAAGAAACTATTTCACAAGATATCAAGAGGGACAAATTACTCTTTGCAAGCTATGAGCTGAAACATTATCCCAAACATGCTTTTTCAAAAGGAACTGGACTTTCTTTGTTTTTCCTTGAAGAAGGTTAAATGGCATCAAATATCACTTCTCTGGAAGATAGAACCACAGTATTGTCTACAGTATTATTTCAAACGTAAACCTATTATTATTCTGCAGAGGTCATCCACTGCCTTCACCTCAAAATATTACCAATTCTAACAATATATAAAGTTTAGCAATAATGTAATTTAATTGAGCGTGGCTTAAACAGTTGGGCAAACATAGACATGATTTGTAGCTTATAATTTAGCATTACATATTTATACAACCACTGAATCTTATTCAAATCATGATTCAGACAAATTGTAACTTAGTGCACTGTGTAAAACCAGTCAATAACAGATAAAGGATTTAATCTACAAATACTGGGCTTTACTCAAGGTAGCAGGAATAATGGCATATTCCAAATATCAGTCAATTTTGGCACAAAACCTTCAGGCCTCTGCTAAAATGCTGAAGATGGAAAGGAATGTCACCTTTCCACATGGCAATGACCCAAAGCATACCTTCGAATAAACAAAAGAATGGCTTCACCAGAAAAAGATCTAAGTTTTGGAATGGCCCAAAACTCCCTGAATCCAACT